GAATGGGAATCTGCAATGTGTCTCAGTTGCTATGGAAACCATAACGTTGAATTTCCTTTTAAGTTTTGTAAGTCTTCGCACATTAAAAAAAAAAAAGGCTACCTCCCCAGATAGCTATCGAATTGCAGGTAGGATCAGAGCAATTACGCTGAGAAACATCACATTTCATGATGATGTACACACTTAACAGACAGCTATCAGTGTGACAAGTGCATTTAAACACGGCTATGGATGGTAGGCCAAATCTATTGAAAACACGACTTCTCAAAATGTAGTCAGAATTGCTATTACCTGACAGCAATTCATTCTAATGACACGTGTTTATATTACAGTTGATTATAGTAGAGGTAAGCTGCCCACTTAGACAGATATCAACCAACTCTATGCTTGTGAGTCCTTAGGAGAAAAAATTTTTTTTTTTAAATTGCATTGAAATGGCAGAGAAATCTAGCATGCTCTCAGAAAAAAAATGCGCTGAATGTGTGGAGAGCATTTATTTTATACAGAAAACCATCTCCGGTGCGAGGCAACACACAGCATGGATGCTGGGAAAAGCAGGATTTTCTTTCCCTGCTAGCATATCCAGTGTCCTCTCAAGTACCACTACGTGGGCAGTACACTCCACATCACTTTCCCCCACTCTAATCTGGTCCCTTTGTCACACAAAGCTTTGAAGCTGCCAGGCGTGCAAGTTACATCAGCCTCAGGCATATCTGTGAGGAGAGATCCAGCCACAGCAAAATTAATCAAGTATTTCAAAGTGCCAGTCCCCATCCTGTTGCCAACTATACAAGCCATTATTTGCTTCCAAGGATACAGATAATTAAGAAGAGACCCAGGTTTAGATATGCAAACAGAATAGGGGCTATATGTAACTGGTGTATCACCAGACGGGCAGCCACCCACTTTTATCAATACTTTGATTCATATCAAGTCTTGAACAGAAAAGGCAGACCCGTGGTCTTGGGTGAAGGACAAGTCATGCACTAAAATCACATTATAGAGATTATGGCTCAGAGTTCTGAACAGAATTCTAAGAGAACCCCGAGACATCACACTCACCTACACACGTGAGACTCATGCAACAGCTGGATTTGAAACACATACCCCGGCTCGCATACTCTGGCAAACTTCCCAGCTGAAGCCTTGGAGCTTTCCCTGCTCTTTGTGCTGTGTGTCCTGTCCTAATAAGTCACGTGCCGGGAGCTGATCTCCTCATGTTCTACTACATGTATGTCCTAATAAGTCACGTGCCGGGAGCTGATCTCCTCATGTTCTACTACATGTATGTAATAATAAGTCACGTGCCGGGAGCTGATCTCCTCATGTTCTACTACATGTATGTAATGATGAAAAAGGCACAGACTCTGGAAACGTCCCTAGAAATCTCGACAAAAGCATGTGAATTCTATAAACAGTCTTTCCAGCACCTCTCCTGACTTTCCGAGAGCTTTTGACTTATTTTCTTGGCCATGTTCCCAATATCTGGATGCATGACTTCGTGAAAGTCAGAGCCTCCTGCATTTCTAGGGGCCTTTCTCCCATTATGGTCTTTAAAAACGATATCCCACATGTAATGTATGTCTTGTGATAATTTTGCTCCAATAAAATTTTACTGCCCCACAATGTCTCATATTCAAGACACATTTGATTAAAAGGGGAATGATTAATTTGTCTCCTGAAAAATACCATTCCTCCCTAAATAAAAATAAACACCATCAAGGCATGGGAGCAGTATCAGAAATCACTACCTTCTGTGACACCCCCCAAAAAATCAAATTTATTAAGTGTTGGCTTTAATATGTTTCCCAAGATTTATCACCCGAGAGGTTAAGCTTTGGGAAACATAGATTTCTCTTTTGGGCTCATGGCATTCTGTCAAAACAGCACAAGTTCCTCTGTGGCTTTTGTGAGAGGATTGGCCAGCGTAGCCTAGTTCTGGGTGGAAGAGTACAAGCGTTAAAAAGGTTGAACAAACAAACGAACAAAAAATAAAGATGCATTATGATTGTGGAAGAAAAGTATTCTGAGATTTATTATTAGAATTTCAAAAAAAAATGCAACAGTTTCAAAGCTACTCTGTCCACCAGAAGCAGCTACAAAAAGAACATTAAGAAGGGAAATAGCAGTGTGCTTTGGGTTCTCACCAGAGACCTGTCACTTCACATGCCTCCCAAATCCCAGCTAAGGATATGCCATCAATATCGGCTCTACTTGCCATCAGCTTCGGCTCTACTCGCCACCAGCATTGGCTCTAGAAACATCAGCATGGCTCTATTCACCATCAGCATTATTCCAACTCTTAGCCTGATGAAAGCTGCTGACAAAAGTAGGTTGACCAGCTTGAACTGCAATGAAATTTTGTCTCCCAATCTCCTTGTGGCTTAATTTTCATCCCTTCGCTTCTGCGCCGGGAAAATGCATCTTCCCTTTCCCATTAACCCCTTAAACCCCTGACCTCATCTGCTCCTTCACATTCAGGGTCACGGTCCTCTAGTCTCTACTCTTTCTCTCACCCTTGGCTCATCAGAGATTCTTCTCTGACCTTACAAATCTGGTAATTTTGTGTTGTCCTCAAAGCAAACCCTAAGAGCACCGTCCTCCTAGCCCTCCTGGATAACAACCAAATGCTCTTTTTTTTTTTTTTTAAATCAATTGTATCGTTGATGAAGCTGTTAGAGGTTGGATCTTCCTCATGTCCACACCCCACGTGGCCTTGTTCAGTTGCTGCAGTCCAGACTCCAGTGCCCAGTGTCTCAGGGGACCAGTTCTCCGAAGGATTATTAATCACGCCCTAGGAGTCAGCTTTCTACATACCATTTTCAAGTTTCATTGTACACCATATTTCCACAATTAATATTCATGACCCTCTTTCTAGAAACTTCCTACTGTTTGTTCTGTGAGCCACAGATGAGGGAATTCTTAGAAAATGAGGACAAGGCAACATACTGCAGTTCTGTTTGGGAGAGAAGTGCTGGAGCTGAGGCCAAGAAAATTAGGGTCACAGTATGAACGTGGAAGAAAGAAAAACAGCCTACGCCTATGCAACTTCCACACTGATGATGATTTGAGGCCTCTTGACTTTCTTGTCTGCGCTCATCTTTTTAAAAGAGGCGTCTTCCCTTCGTGTACGTCTAACCCCCAAAGATTTGTGCTCAGGGCTCTTTATCTATGTGCTCATTCATTCCAAAACTGGACTTGGATACTCACTCAGTGTCTTTTATCCAACTCATTCCTTAATCCAGTCCTTGTCTCATCATTCCATGAATGATTTTCAAGTTGAGCAATCCAGCAAACTCTTCTAGGCTTCATTTTACTTGACTCCTCGCAGAGTTAGAAACTGTAGATCATTCTGCCTCCTTCCTCTGCTTCCCTGAAAACCACCCCTTAGCGTCTTCCAATCTTTTTGGCATCTTCCATGCATTCCAGGGCAGTGTCTCCTCTACTCACTGGCAACTGTTAGGAATTCCTAAAGGCACTCTCTCCTTTATTGCTCTGTATTTACTTCCAGCTTCAAGGAATGGGAAAACACACACACACACACACACACACACACACACACACACACACACACACACGTTATTTAGATCATCTTTTGGAGGTTACAAAGAAACCTGAAACTCGGTATGTTAAATACAATTTCTTCTCAGATCCAGCTCTCTCAGTACTTCCTGAATGACATCCTCACCCTTCCAAGTGTGGGAAACACACCAAGAAGTCACACTTGGCAGCTCATTTGCTCACTCCAGGATCCACCCATTACCAAAACCCAATCCTGTTACTTCCTAAACACCTCCTAGAGGCATGCATTCTTCCTTCCACTGTGTTATTCCACGCGAGGAAGAGCTCATCACAAGACAGGAAGTATACACACTGATCTTGTTATCTCCAACTTTATTTATTTATTTATTTGGGTTTTCCAAGACAGGGTTTCTCTATGTAGCTTTGGAGCCTATCCTGGAACTCACTCTATAGAACAGGCTATCCTTGAACTCACAGAGATCCCTACCTCTGTCTCCCGAGTGCTGGTATTAAAGGCGTGTGCTACCACTGCCGGTCCGATTTTCTTTTTTTTTTTTTTTTAAACAAATATTTCAAAAATTGTTTGAAGAAGTCAGATTTCCAAGGGATACAGATTGCCAGGGGCATAGCCATGAATTCAGGCAGAAAAGATGGAAAAGGTTTCTATGTAGCTAGGAAAAGCAAGACTAAAGCTACCTGCAGCTGTAGCACTCAGGCCCAGGCCATGCTGACTGGAGTAGGGTGGGCAGGAATAAAAAAGAATCTGCATTGTAATAGCTGAACAACAGGCTCTGCATCTGGCATGGAAAAAGGTTTCTGAGCACAACATCCCTGTCAACGGTCTAGCAGACGGCTGGCGGTTATAACCAGGACCCCATTTCTCAAGCGTGCACTTTATCTAGTAAAGTTGGCTGTTTATGGCAAGGATATTTCTAAGATATTTTAGAGAATTTTTTTTTTAATCCACAAAAAAGTCAAAAAGAAAACTCCTAAAGTTCTAGGTATGTATCCGCAATTATTTTCCTTTTTAGGACAGGGATGCATAATAAACGAAGGCTCCACATTAACATACAAAAGTGACCACTAATTTCCTTTGAGTGCCTATAGAAAATGATCCGCGCTTAACAGTACACGTCAGTGCACATTATGGTCTGCCTTGCCAGCGATTAAGCAGTAAAAATATTTTAATCAAAATTTAAATAGATTACTTAAAATTTTTTTAGAAAAAGTAGAGAGAAAACAAAATCTATCCCCAGGGTATTATCTTAACAGCCTGAGACACAGCGTACGTGGTTCTGCCTTTGTAATACCTGAAATAAAGATCGTTAGACTCATGACATACGGGTCACAGAAAGATCAGCATGGACCCAGACAACACTGAACACCATTCAAAGGTAGGAAAATACTGACAGCTGCAGACAGGTGCAGGCTGAAGCACGGCAGAGTCGGAGCCACCCGCTACGAGGAGAATGGCGTACCTGCTGTGGGGGAGTTGGCGTGGTGAGACTTCTTGGGCAGGTTGAAGATCTGTTCACCAGGGTCAGGGGGAGGAATTGCATCTTGCCCTTGTCGCGCCTCGACAGGATCATACTCCTTCCCATCATAGTTAGCATCGTAGAATTTCTTAAACCACTGAATAAAATCCAGGTTGTCTTGGAAACGCCCTTTCACCAGCTTCTCCACTGGAATTACCTGCAACGTCAGGACACTACGTAAGTCACAAATCTCAGGTTTCTGTAGAGTGTTGTGCAATTATATCCTAAGAATTGTTTGCAATTCTTTTGTGAACAAAATTTAAGATTTCTTATTTATGTGCATTTATGTTCATGTGTGTTTGCTTGCTTGTCTGTCTGTGCACCATGTGTGTAGAGAGCCTGCTGAGGCCAGAAGAGGTCACAGGACCCCCTGCAACTGAAGTCACCGATGGCTATGAGCCACCAGGTGCTGGGGATGAAAACTGAACCAGAGTCCTTGGTAGGAGTAGCAGGTGCTCTTTACCACTGAGCTGTCTCTTTGGCCCATTGCCTGTACTTCCTGACCACTGTTTCTCTCTACCTGTCTTCTCAGCAATATTCTAGAATTGACACAATTTTAACTATTTCAAAAAAAATCCAACAGAGTTGCTTGTATTGGAAAATTTAATTCTTCCTGAATAACTAAAAAAGGAATATCCTTAGGCGTCAAGAGGGGGCGACCTGCCAGGTCTGGTGGTAGCACAGCCTGTAATCCCAGTCCTTGAGAGACAGGCAGAATTGTGAGTCTCAGATGGAACTGGGCTAGACAGCGAGGCCTCATCTCAGAAAAGCCAACATACAAAATGAGAAAAGAAAACAGGTGACTTCTCCCGTGTGGAGGACATTTACAGTTTAGCAGTCTCCTCACAGAATCTACTGGCCTGGGATATTGTGCTGTCTCAAACCTGAAGCGCTTTCCTATTTCTCTGTAAAACCCTGGCCGAGTCATAGTGACATAAATTCTTGTTAGGATTAGCACTAACAGAGCACAGGAACCAGGGGCAGGTCAGGGAAAACAGATACTGAGTGGATGGGTCATGTGGAACAGAACAACAAGCATCCCAACTAACGCAGTGCAGGAGCTAAGGCTCATGGGAGTGCAGAGACAGAGAAGAAGAGGCTCAATAAGGGGGTCGTGGGAGCATACAAAGAAGGCGAATGACACGCGTACCAGCTTTTCTGACTTCCACCAGAGTCAGCCAGGATTCCCTGCCGACTCTCGCAGGAACCTCTGGGACTATGACAAAGCGAGGTGTGTGTGTGTGTGTGTGTGCGTGCACGCGCGAGCAGACTTGATTGCTTAACTTATTCAGTGCACCACTGTTGTTTTTATTAAGGAAAATGGAATTCTCCCATCATTCTTCCCACACAGCACAATGAGTAGACTTTACTTCTTCCATCACTGGGTGATAACTGATTGGGAACTATGAGAGTGGCAGAACGAAGTTGTGAGTCAGAATGCAGGCGTGTGGTGTGAGTGATTCAGACAGAAGCCCAGTGTGCAGGAAATGCAGCTCCATAGCATGACAGAATGAACGGAAACAGAAGACACCAACCCTGCAGCAAGGCTCTGCCACCTTGGAAACCATAGGCCACTGATGTCATAGAAGCCAAGAGGGCCACTTTAGAAAGAACAGAAAATGGTGGCTGGGGCTCTCTTCCACAATGACTGACTTCCCTAGCTCTGAGCAGGTGACTAGGTTTCCTGTACCGGGCATGCTTTTCCTACTGTTAAAAGTATCTGCACCACTGGTGTGCTCTTGGGGTTATCACACTGGTGTTGGTTGTCTCCCTTCTTTGGAACTTGCATGGGACTTTTCTGGCACAATGAACAGCGATGAATTAAAAAAAGAGGCCATGAATTTGAAAGATCTCACAGAGGGGTGAGTAGAGGAGGGACTGGAGGGAAGGCAAGGGGGAAATGATATAATTATAGTATAACCTCAGGAGAAACAATTGGTGTGGGGGGACAGAAAGCCCTTGCGTATCAACCATAATTTGGAAGAAAAAATGAGGGAAGCGCCTTAGGCTACATGCTCAGAAACTGATACAGGATGCAGAACAAAATAAATAGAAGTTTCTGGAAGGACATTGTTCATCAAGCTGCTGCTGGTCCTGGAGGCCCGGGTGCTGCCATGTCCCTACTCTCACTTCCCTTGAACTCTCAGGGAGAGACTCCCTGCCCCGTTTGCACGTCCCTGGATATTTTATCACAGCTGACGGCTGCTGAGTGTTACTGTTGGCTTTCGGAGAGACTGAACTGGTAAGGGATGTGGAGCACAGGGTCCTTCACGGACAACCGAAGCAACGTGTCCGCTGCCTACGTGTGAGGCTTTTACAGGGCAGTGGCTCGGCAGCTCTTCCTTCTGCTGACTTCTCCTGGTTTCAGGGACAGAAGCCTCAAGTGGGCCCTCTAACGCACTGGGTATGACAGACAGGATGGGTGCATGACAGGGTGTCTCTCTAGGGACTTGGGCAGTCACAGGGTCCTGATGATGCTTCTGGGGCTGACAGGCTGGCGAGGCCAAGGCCAGTCTCTTGCCATTGCAAACTTGTTTGTCAATATTCTTAGCTCAGCCATTTTCTGTGTGTTCGCTTATAGAAAGATGCACAAAGCTTTCTGATTAGATTACAGCAAGTTCCAGCCTGAAACCCACAGGTGGGTGTTTCTTCTCTCTAATGTACAAGTGTGAATTTAAAAGAAAGGAGAGCCTGCACAACTGGGTGTGTGGGGAAGGAGCTACTTGGAGATCAGCCTCAGCAGAAGGAATAAAAATTAGGATCTTTCAGAGAAACAATTTAAAACAAGCATTCCTAGAAGAGAAGAAGCCAGGTTTTCTCAACATCGTGGTGAGAATGCTTCTTACCTAGGAAAGTGATGAACCATGCTAGATTATTAAACTTTTCTTTAACCTTTATCACATAACCTAGTGTCTGTTTTCTATCCTGTAGGCCTTTTTATTCTTTTTATCAATACTGTTTTTTTTTTTTTAAGAGTGATGTTTCTCCTCTGCTGGTTTATCTCTTTCCCCCTTGTTTGAGATTCATGTCTTGTCATGCTTATTCATTCTAAGAGGCATGGCCAGTAAGAGAAATACCCTAAATAAGGAAGACATATTACTAACAAACATTTGACTAGCACCCGGCTCTCCCTGAGAGACCAGCGGGTCTCAGCCCCTCAGTCCCTTATTGGGGGGAACAGGACGTGAGGACCAAGACTTCCATTTGTGTCACCTGGGGCAAAATTATACTTCAAAGGAGAAAAGCAACAACATTCATGGATGATGGGATCTGAGAGGAGCGCTACGCTGGGCACTATTACAGACACCTGCTCACTAACGTGTCCGAACCATGAGGAAGGAGGAGCCTAGTCCTCTTTCAGAGGAGCCAGCTTAGACACCTAGAAAATGACCTGGACCGGCCAGTCAAGCCCAGAGTGGTTTCCCTGTTAACAAGTTGTTTTTCCCAAAGGAACAAAACACCCACAGAACCCGAGGCCTCTGGTAAACAGAAAGTGTCTCATCTGCAACTCAGAGAAGCTGATGACCCACTAATACAACATTCAGGACTCCTGCTAAGAGGTTTCTGTGTAATGGCTGCTGGGTTAAGGATTTCTTAAAACTAAAACCTCACAGGCATGGGGGAACTCGGCTGCTGTTTATATACGGACAGACCCCCACATGGTGAGATATCTGAGTATATACCTCATAGATATGTTCTCAGACTTTTTCATTTTTGATTACTACTACAGGGGTGCTGGCTAAGATATAGGCAGTTCTCCTCCAGAGGACTGGAGTTCAATTCCCAGGACCCACATTGGGTAGCTCTCGGTCACAGGTAACTCTGACTCTTGGGGAATCCATTGCCCTCTTACGGCCTCTGCAGACGCTACGCTTACGTGTACAAAACCTACATACACACAATTTAAAAACAATAAAATGCTGAAAGCAATTTTGAAAAGAGTACATTTGAGAGTGGGGTACTAGCAGGCTTCTTACCTTATCAACATTCATCCGCTTAAACGATGCCTGCAGAAGTTTAAAATTGTGGATATACTCATGCTCCAACTTTGCTTGGAATTTTACTTTCTTCAAACTGATACAGCCTGGGAAGAGCATGTCCATGAACTGGCAATAGGCGGCTCCTGAAAAACGACAGTGAGAGGCAGGGATGAGTCTAGCTGTACCCGGATGTGATGGAGGTCATGATGGGCACCATGATACACAGCAGCGCCTCCTGCATACATGTCCCCTTTATCATTGCACGTACACCTCCTCAACAACAGGGGCTGGGTACCAGGGGGAAGAGAGCCCACCACAACAGTGCATCACGCAGGGTCACTATGCATTCAGTTCTCAGCACCAACTGTGGATTTTTCCACCAATGCCGGAGAATCCACGGTAAGACTCTTGCTGCTTCTATCAGAGGAAAGGGACACAACATTGCCCTTCTATCTAGCTAGTGTCCTGCTCCCTGTCATCAAAATCAACTTAAGAAAAAGCACAGGGCATGTAACCATGAGAGAGGTACACAGGTTCTCAGGGGATGTGTGGCCCAAAGACATACGTTCATGCTGTTTTACAGCCATCTTGGGAAGCAACAGGGCTGGAAACGGTTATCACTAAGCCGTCTAAGACCAGAAGCAGCTGCTTGACAATCATTCCAGCCCAAGAGCACCAGGCTTCCCTCATTAGCATAAAGGAGGAAGTCAGGGATCACCTGAGACAAGCAGGCATCCAGAGTCACGCTGTTTACAACTGAGAGAAAAGTATGCAGACATGTTCGCTAGGACCCCCTTGAACAGGAGATGGTCTTAGCAAAGAGGTGTTTACTTTTAAAGATGAAGGAAGAACTACTGAAACATGCTGATTTCAGCTAGAAAAACCCCAGCAAGATGGCATTTCCTTGGTCCTTAAAGGTAAAGACTAAGGGCACTTAACATGAGAAACTGTCATAGTGAGTCCTGTCCCGGAAGAAGTGCAGCCGAGTGCCAAGAGCAGGGACAAGGGGAATGACACTTAAAAACTTTTCTTTCCTTGCTGTCTCCAGATAGCTTGCTCTGTTTCCATGACGGGCTATTGATTAGTCTTTCTGGACCATGAAGAGCCTCCCTCACCATTTATCATGGAGGCTTCTGGAAGGCCTTGTCTTTCAAGTGACAGCCTCCCCTTTGGCTAGGACACACTAGATTTATGTTAAATTTATGCTAAACCCTCTACTGAGATGGAGTCCCAGTGAAGAGGGGACAGAAGACTGGGAACTGAAAGGTTGCGGAACCAGAAATGCTGTGCTAACTCATTCTTTGTAGGTAAGGCAATGAAAGATGCAACGGGCATCTGGCTTTCCCTTCCTTAGATGTCAAGACTGTGAATTAAGAGTTTCTTCCTAAGCAGATGGCTTCTCTTAAAAATAAGACAAAGCATAGCAAACCCAAAGCCAAAACACTGTGGAGGTAAGGATTCTGTGCGTGTGTGTGGTGGGGGAGCGGGGGACACATTCAATTATCCAGTCCTTTTAAAAGTGTCACCAGATGGAGCAAACTCCAACCCCTGCAACATAATCACACAGGTGTGGAAGCTCTGCTGTGATCCGCTCTCTGTAAAGCTAGCCGCATTTTTCTAGAGTTTAGCATTAAATTTGCCTCTGAAGACCTGGATGCTACATAGTCTCATGAACTAAACATCCAAGTGCTCCACTTTCCAAATTTAAAAATACATAACACTTTTGTGTGTGTGGGGGGGACACACAGTGAGGAAAGTTGAAAACCCATCTTTAATATCTGTCACCCAAGGCTAGCTAACCCCTGCTTGTATTGTGGTATTTGCCATTCTGATCTCTTAAGGGGTGGGGTTATATGTTATCTATTTTTACTAAAATGCAACAAAAGATTTAAATGCAATATTTTCTATATTTATTTACACTTGTTTCTGTGGTGCTGGGAATCAAACCAGGGCCTTGTACACACTATGCAAGCAATCTGCCACACCTTGGGTCCTTTGGGTCACCTGCTATTCTCTATCAATGTTTTAATGGCACTCTGGTATTTACATCATGCTTAGCAACTTCCCTCAACCAAGATCCCATAAATATGCATGCATAGTTTCTGTAAGTGCTTTTATGATCTCCAGTTTTACATTCAAGTTCTGGATCCATGTGGAATTTATTTTGGTTTGTGATAGAAAGTATGGTTCTAATTTTAGTCATTCCAAATGTTAGTGGGAAGCTGTCACTTTTGACTCCTCTCATTTGGCACTTCCTTACCTAGCGAGACGCTTCAGGACCCCACCTCGTACCCCAGTAGCTGAATGTAGGTGGGTCTCCTTTTCCTACCTCCACATGACCCGAGCTCTGCTGTGGATATTCCTGCCTCCATCAAATGGAGGGAATGAGAGAAATACAGAGATAGAGAGTTTGTCGTGGTAGTAGCATGTCTAGACACTGTGAAATGACAGAACAGAGCATCCTAGTCTAACTATCCCCTTTCCCCAGCACAGGGAGGTTCTTTCACCTCTAACCTTGGCTTTCCATGGATGCTGAGTGACCCATCTTTCCTAGAAATTCTTTCCTTCATAAGCTTGCTAAGAGTACTTTCTATAATGTTCACCCCAAACTGACAACCGATGAAGTTAGCCAGGTTCTGACACCACCGAATGAACTCTGTCTTAACCAGATTTACTTTCCTAATGCATGTGCTGAAGGCTCCTTCTCTCTCTCTCTTTTCATCTAGGAAAGTCATTTTTAATTGTCATAACATGCAAGATACAAGATATCTGGGTATAAGTTGGAAGTCTTACTGCTGTTACTATTATAATTTTGTTTAAAAACTAAAAACAAAGGGTATTAACATATCTATATTTTCTTTATATGTATCCATACTTACTTATATTATCATATTGCTAAGTATGTCATTTTGGCCGTGAACTGTGTGGCTGCCCTATCTTCTAAATTACGTAAACTCTATGTTCTATATTAATAGATCTTGTGTTTTATAGCTTCTCCTCTTTTGCCAAGTCATGGTGGTACATACCCTTAGTCTAGCCCTCGGGAGACAGAGGTAGGTGGATCTCAGTTTGAGGTCATCCTGGTCTACAGAGAAAGTTCCAGGATAGCCTGATCTACACAGAAAAACCCTGTCTTGAAAAACCGAAACCAACCAAACAACAACTTCCCTTCTCTCAAAATTAAAAGAAATAAAGTATTCATTTTAAAATGCACACAGAAAATAGCCCATTAGAAACATTCAGATACAATTCATATATGCAGCCTTTGAAAGCCTGTGATTCAGTCAGTGGGTTACAACACATTCACGGGACTGTAAATCCAATAGCAGGTATCTAATTCCAGAAGATTTTTATCACCACACACAGATTTCACAGCCACGGGCAGCCACTCTACGCTCCCCGTCCCCTCCGCCCCGGCAACTGTTACTCTTCTAACTTTCCGTCCATCTGTATCTCCCCAGATTTCACATAAAGGGATCATTCTTTTTGACCATTGAGCTTCGTTCTTTAACTCAGAAAAACCTTTCAAGGTTCACTGGAAGTCTAATCCTTTCTAAGATAATATTTCATTAAATAAACACACCATATTTTATCAATCCTTCCATCAGTCAGTGGGCATCTGGGCCATTTGGGGACTACTGGGTAAAGCTGCTAAGAACATGTGTAAGTTCTTGAGTGACATATGTTTTCATTGGCTGTAAGGTGGAATCTGTGCTGAGTCACGTGGGGTCTCTGTGATAAACATCTTGAAGAATTGCCCATCTGTTTTCCAAAGCAGGCACCATCTTATATTCCCACCAGCAATGGGCTTCAACTCCACACCTACTATGTCTGTTATTGATCCTAGCTGTCCTAGTGGGTGCATGGTGCCTCATGCGGGTTTCGGTGGATTTTGCTAATCACTAATGGCACTGAATAGCTTCCTAAAATGCTTGTGGGCCAGTTGTATACTGTTTTTGGAGGAATCTTTGCAGATCCTTTGCCTGTTTTTAACTGAGCTACTTGTCTGCTTAGCTGTGGGAATTCTACGCTCTAGACTCAGTTCTCTTATCAAGCAGGCGTGTGATGTGCACACACTGCCCGCTCTCCTATCGCCAGAGTGCATGCTTTAAACTTTGAACTCATTCAATTTAACCTTAAATTGCTTGTGCTTTTATTGTCATGGTTAAGAAATGGTTGATTGCTCCATAGTGGTGGAGATCCACCTGGGGACATTCATTGATGCCCATTTGCTTTCTAGCTCCAACTCCCTTTATGCCCCTGGTCACTCCCATCTCGAAGCTGTTTGTCTGTGATGGTGGGGTGCATTTCTTGGAGGGAATAGATGGATCCTGTTCTTAGTCGTCTGCTAGTCTGTATGCGAACTGGAGAGGTGAGACCTTCAGCACCCAGCCACCTTTGAAAGGTGTGCGTAATTCCTGCCGTATGATTGGTGCTTCGACATTCCTCATTTGCTTAGCTACTCTTTTTACCTGGTCTGCTTTTTGCTGTAACCTCTTGGGTGTGTTAATTTTTTCTTCAGGGTGTAGGGGATGTTCTGTGGTGCTGAATGAGCAGCCCAATCAATTAATGGGCTAGTGAAATAAACCACCGGGTTCTCACAACCAAAGTACAAATGGCCAATGAATGTATGAATAAGATGCTCAATTTCAATAGTTATCAGAGAAGCGCAGATTAAGTCACACTGAGATTCCACCTCATCTCAGTCAGAAGGTAATCATTAAGTGAACAAATCCTAACAAATGCAGATGAGGTTGCCCGGAAGAGAACCTTTAGACACTTCGGTTCTACCCAGGTAATGGTGGCGCACACCTTTAATCCCAGGACTCAGAGGACTGAGTTCCAGAACAGCCAGTGCTACACAGAGAAACTGTCTCAAATAAACCACTATTAAATATATATATTGTGTTCTTCCCTCAAGACTGCTACTGGCCACAGTGTTTAATACTAAGAAAATAGTAATTAAATTCCACTGAATTTTATTAACTACTATTTTCACAAGCCGGGCGGTGGTGGTGCACGCCTTTAATCCCAGCTCTCGGGAGGCAGAGGCAGGCAGATCTCTGTGAGTTCGAGACCAGCCTGGTCTACAGAGCTAGTTCCAGGACAGGCTCCAAAGCCACAGAGAAACCCTGTCTCGAAA